CGTTCATGGGTTGACACTAGCCGGGCATAAATCATAATGAACTTTTTTTTTTTTTAATATTTTTATTGATTTTTTTACAGAGAGGAAGGGAGAGAGATAGAAACATCGATCAGCTGCCTCCTGCACATCTCCTACTGGGGATGTGCCTGCAACCCAGGTACATGCCCTTGACTGGAATCGAACTGGGACCCTTCAGTCCGCAGGCCGACGCTCTATCCACTGAGCCAAACCGGTTTCGGCTCATAATGAACTTTGATGGCAGACTCGAACACTTGGAATTATCACTGACCCTATCACTCAATTATCAGGCAAGATTGAGAGAACTGATGGGAAAACGGATTCAAGCAGAAATTTCAGTTAGATGGGGCTGAATGAACTGATGAGAATGGTTACAATATTTATAAATTTTTGTTTGAAATATTGCTGGATTGTTTTTTCAGATATAAGAAAACAATTTTCTGAAGCTAGCTATGACTTAGAGCAATTTGGTAAACTATACCTTTGCAAACAGACTAGAAACATTTGTCCTTTTCTCTTTACTTGATTCCTCTAGAATTCGGAAACTCTCAGTGGGTGTTCTTATTTTCATGGCAATATTGTTATTTGCATAAGTTCAATAAAAATCTGTTCGCCTCATAACAGAAGACAGTTGGAAACTAGTTATGTATCAAGGATTTGACTGGAATGCCATATTTGACTCAGATATGACTAGACAGCTTTAAAATTGACTGATGGAAGCCAATAAAAACCCTTTGAAATATTGGCATAGTACCTTGCTTACCTAAGTCATCAGCAGCCTTAGGAGGTGAGTCAAGAATGTCATTTCCTGGCAGGTACAGAAGCTTCAGGATATTTTGAGGAGTTTGAGGAAAGAGAAACTCACCCAAATCTGTACTATTGCAGGCAAGGTCTGGTGGCAAGTTCTTGCCATGGCTTTTCTGGCCCCAAGAGGCCTTTTTAAGTTCAATCTGAAGATTTCTTTTTTTTTTTAAATTTTTATTTTTAATATATTTTATTGATTTTTTACAGAGAGGAAGGGAGAGAGATAGAGAGTTAGAAACATCGATGAGAGAAACATCGATCAGCTGCCTCCTGTACATCTCCTACTGGGGATGTGCCCGCAACCCTGGTACATGCCCTTGACCAGAATTGAACCTGGGACCTTTCAGTCCGCAGGCCGACGCTCTATCCACTGAGCCAAACCGGTTTCGGCCTGAAGATTTCTTATGGAAAATTTCAGCACAGCATTGTTAAGAGCCTTTCTGCTTAATGACTACTTTTGCTGAACTTATATAAATAATCAGGCCAAGTTTATTGAAATTACTTATTTTGCAAAATAAATTAGACTTAACCTGGCTATCTTTGGTAAAAATAATTATTTTAGAGGGAAAAATTATGTTTCAATAGAAACTACATTATACCTTTGTGGATATTATATTCTAATGCTGTTCATTATTTTTTGAGTTTTTTTGTTTTCTTCTTGTAAATGGACTGGATCTTCAATTATCCTAGGTTCCTCCAACATCTGCCTATGACTCCAAACGAATGTTTCCAATTTTTCTTTTATCCTTTGACTTGGAATCATTGAGAACTGAAACTGCCTTTTTCCCAAGGCCATGTAAGCTGAAGATGGAGAACTTGATAATAGAGTTCAGAGAAATCACCACAACAGTTCCTATATAGACAGTCATTCTGCCTATTACAGAAAGATCACCAGAGACATTCATACTGCAGACCAGGAGAATCTATCAGACTGTAACTACCTGTCCTCACTCAATCTGAAGATGATTCGAGACATATTTAGAAATCTTCTCAACTGCCTGCCTTCAGAACTCAGAAACAGATTATAGTCTGCTTTTTTAAAAAATATATATTTTCTTGATTTTTTACAGAGAGGAAGGGAGAGGGATAGAGAGAAACATCGATCAGCTGCCTCCTGCACACCCCCTACTGGGGATGTGCCCGCAACCAAGGTACATGCCCTTGATCGGAATCGAACCTGGGACCCTTGAGTCCGAAGGCTGACGCTCTTATCTACTGACCCAAATCGGTTAGGGCTATAGTCTGCTTTTTTCTTTTGTTTCCATAGAGATGCTTTTTATTAAATACCAGCACTGTCCTTGCATCATAGGCTTAATTTTAGGAGCCCACTGGCATCACTGCCTCCTGAAATGAGATACAGCTGTTTACCTGAACTGAACTTTTCTCAAGAGTGAGGCTATTGCCCTAGCAGCTAGGGCCTAGCTGGTTTGGCTCAGTGGATAGAGCGTCAGCCTGCTGACTGAAGGGGCCCGGGTTCGATTCCGGTCAAGGGCACGGGCCCAAGTGGCAGGCTCAATTCCCGGTGGGGAGCATGCAGGAGGCAGCTGATCAATGTTTCTCTCTCTCCTTCTTCCTTTCTCTCAGAAATCAATAAAAAAATATATATATATATTTTTTTAAAAAGACTATTAACACCATTTCTGGAATGTGAAACTTCCAGGGTCAGGAAGGAACTGTGGGGGGTCAACATGTGTTTGTGGCATGTGGATTGTTTTTGAGCTAAAGGCAGCTTTAGCTGTGGGCTCCTGAGAAACTTCTACCCTGCAAATACTTAGAAGAACTTGGATTGGGGGTTTTGCCCATGATAAGAGGTTATTATCTAGAGGGCAGGGCAAATTACTAATTAGTTACTAAACCTGCTCTCCCTGCAATGACTCTTTGAATCCCCAAGGCACCTTACCTCATTGCTACCTCAGAATGTCTGATATACCCATTCTCCCTTTCTGTCTTCGAACCTGTCACGCATGCGGGGTCTCTGACTCTTGTATGTATGCGTGGTTCCCATAACTGTGTATGAATTAAATTTGGTTGTTTTCTCTTGTTAATCTGACTCATCTCTATTCGGTTATTAATTAGACCAGCTGAAAGAACCTTGAGGGTAGAGGAAAGTTTCTCCCTCCCCACACAGATTACAAATTTTTGGCAGAAATGCCACAAAACTGATGTTGTGTCTTTCTCAGTGCAGTATCAGGGAGCATATAATGTTTTCCTCATTACTGGTGAGGTTAACTTTGGCCACTTAAGATTTTAGTGTGTAGTGTTGACATTCAAGCATATTAATTTGTATTCTTTCCTGGCCAAATGACTTTCCTTGTTCTTTATTTGAATGCTTCCTCTTGTAGGAGGAGAAAAAGTTTCCCTCAACATTCGTAGGGTCCCTGGGTGGGTCTGAAAATCAAACTGATAAAGACAGATGAAAAGGAGAAAAGCATAGACATTTATTTGTTTTACACGTGACTGCATTGATCAGTACATGACATGGGAGTCTTCATAAGGAAATAGTGACCTGAAGAGACAGTTAGACTGGAGCATTTTTATGCTAAGTTTGATTAAGTGTGGGCAGTTGTGGAGGAATAAGTAATAGGAGGTAACTGTCATAAATTGGGGGAGACCTAGCAAGGCCTGTTTGTTCTTCCTCCAAGCATAGGTGCTGGGAGCCGGTCCATCCTTGCTGTTTCAAAGGACCTGGCATATATGGCATACTGTTCTTAAAATGTTTGCTCACCTTCTTGGCACTATGTGTTTTAACCAAGGTCTCTGAGAAAGGTTGTTTCCCCAGGTAGGGATTTTCCCCTGAAGTTAGGGAGGGAATAAAACCTCTTAACTAAGTGCCAGGTGGGTAATTAATCACTTTAACTACGAACAATCATGATAAAGCTACATAATCTTTACTCCCTGGAATGGAGATAAGAGACGCCCTAACCTTTGAAATAGAGATTGATAGGATTGGAATCAACTGGTATAAATACAGATGGAAGAAGACAGAACCAGGAGGCACAGAACCTGCACAGAACGTTCTCTAGAGACAGAAGAACTTCGCTGGAGAGAACATGGCAAACGATCCTGGACTGAACCTGACTACAGAAATTGGCAAGAGAACCTGACTAGAACCTGGAGAACCTAGCAAGAGAACATGGACACAGAACCTGGCTGGAGATCCTAAGCAGAACTTCGCTGGAGATCCAGACCAGAACTTGGCTGGAGATCCTGGCTAGGCTGCTGATCAACTGAACCCTGTCTCTGTGTCATTCCTTCTTCGCCGACTCCGTCCACACCTTTGGGGACCCCTGGACCTGCTGGGGTTGGACCCCAGCACATAGGGATGGTACCTCTCACATGAGGTGTTTCCGACCTGGTCCAGGGCAGAAGGGTCAGGGGAAGGTCTGAGTGGCTTTCCCGCTTCTGTTTTCTCAGATTCCAGCTTTAAATATTCAATATGCCAGGTGCTATGTTTTGGGGTAGCTTGTCCTGAAGCTCATCATTCTACACCCACCAATGCTATTAGAGGGCCGTGAGAAGAAGACACATTGAGAGGAACTTATTTTCATCAGTGATAATAATTTGTTAGGGTGATACCTTGTATAGTCCTTTGCAGCTTCCTAAGCACTTTTGCATCGTCTATTTTATTTAAAATATCCTAATAACCCCCTGGGGGGTGGGGTGAGCTAGTATTTGAATTAGAGGAAGAATTAGAATTACAGAATTACAGTATACATCTCTGTATTGCCATGATAGGGTTAAGTCAAACGAATGCTTAAATAGTTAAATGGCTATTTTAGGCAGCGACTCCTGTCTGCTTTCGGAGAAGCCAATGAGTCAGGAAGACAGGGGAGAAACAATTTGGGAGGATACTGGGGCGGAGGGATGGCAAAGAGGAAGAGGGGACACAATTGGAATTAGGATTCTGGACACAGCTGGGATTTAGGAATGCTGTCTCCTGGGCCTGGGGAAGTGAGAGGAAACGGGCAGAAACTGGTCTGGGCAGAGTTGAGTCCGGGCGCTGGTTGGGGGGTCGGGGGTGGTTGGGGGGATCCCAGCGGCGAGTGGAGCCCCACCGAGAATGGGGCGGGTCCTATCCCTGGATCGGCCGGGTCACCGCGAGGCCACAGGTGGGCGTGGCCGGCAGGGCGTGGCCGACATCCGCCGGCGGTCCCCAACCTGGCCTGCCAGGGCCGCGGGGCGCACTTCCTAGTGTCGCCGGTAGAGGGCGCAGGCCGCGGAGCCGCTCGCAGAGCCGGGAAGCCGGGAGGAGCGGGCGCAGCCCCACTCGCCCCAGCCGCCGCCATGAGAGCCGTGGTGCAGCGCGTCACCCGGGCCAGCGTCACAGGTCAGTCGGGCGGGGCCGGGCCGGGAGGAGCCGCCCCTGACCCCGCGCCCGCAGTCCCGGCCGCCCCCGCCGCTGTTTCCCCGCACGGTCCCCGGGCCGCTCTGTCCCCTGCGGCCCATGCGCGAGCTCGGACCCTGGCCGGGCTCGGGGCACCGCCACGGCCCCAGATGGCTGTCCTTGTGCCTGGGGGGCCCAGCGCGTCCCTGGCTGTAGGGTCTTCTCTTTGGGTTCAGGATAAACACACCTTATGATTCTTTTTATTTCGGTCCTGAGCACAGAGCGGCAGAACCTCCGGGCACCCCCGTGGCCCGTTGTTCAGTGGAGTGTTGCACAAACACGTAGGGAGCATTTCTGGAGCAAGGACATCCTCCTTTTCAACATTCTGTTTTAAATCCACCCCTTTCCCCAGTTTCTACACGTCTTATTTTTTATGGAGCTTGACTCCCAATAAAATGCACAGATGCGAGGAGCGGTTTGTTCCTGTGGATGAGCTCTGACAATTGCGGACACCCACGTGACCAGCCCCGGGCCGGCTCCAGAGCGTTTCCTGCCGCAGCACATCCTCTTCTCCCTCGCAGGACCCTGCAGGAATGGGGTCAGAACCCAAGGAATTCAGGGCGAAATGTTTCTCTTTCCCACCAATTTCTTGTGCGCCACGCCACCCAACCATTAGTCATCACTTGATCACTGTAGTCCCGTGGTTCTCAACCTTGGCTGCACATTAGAATCACCTGGGAATTTTTTAAAAATTCTGACTTCTGGGCCTCATCCTCCGGAAATTCTGTTTCTTTGTTACCGGGTGGGGCCACAACTTTAGTAACAAACAGAATTTCCGGAGGATGAGGCCCAGAAGTCAGGATTTTAAAAAGATTCCCAGGTGATTCTAATGTGCAGCCAAGGTTGAGAACCACTGCGTAGTCTAATTTGTACAGTGATTACTGTTAACCAGGTCCAGATGATTCATGTAGATAACGTAGGCGTTTTAAAAACTCAAACCAAGATAATACAGATATTTTTTTAAAAATTTAATGAATAATTTTAGATTTTTTTATAGCCTTTTCTACTTTTATTGGCAGAATTATAATATTTTAGTCCAGGTATTCTCCAAGTCAGTCTATATACCAAATATGTGCTCTTGTGTCTGCAAAAATATAAATCTCAAAATAAAACAAAATTCCCTAAAGAAACAACCAAATCCAGCAAAACTATATACAGGTGTTTAGATCTGAGATTCAGTTTTTCAACTCTGCCTAATGATTTCTAAGCTCTTCTGGTAACTGGTTTTGGATATGGCCCTGGAGTAATAGGGAATAGAATAACACAGGGATTTATGGAATTTTAAAACAATTTTCAAAGATTTCAGTAAATACTTAAAGTCACTAACCTAGGATAATTCATAGATGAAAAGGTTTTTCACTTTATGTGGTCACCATCAACAATGACTAAACTTTGGAGAATTTCAATTTTGATATTTTCTCTCTTGAATTTTCCATTCTGGAATATTGAAAACATGTATTCTGTGAGATTTGCTGAATAGTTTGAGTGATTTTAGTTGACTATTTAAATTATATATGTTTAGTTAAAAACAAACAAATAAACCTACCTGCTATTAAAAAGACAAGTGTGAATTGTGGGAAGGTGTTAATAAAAAGGAATTCTCTCAGTGCTAGAGGGACCTTGGGGTTAACCAGGCCTTCTGGTTGAATTGTAATGGAAAGAGATTTTTTGTTTCCTTAAAAATGTGACTGGCTCCACCGAAATGTGGCTGTAAGTTAATGAATGACATTTCATTTCAGGAGTCTAAAATGTCACTTCCAATGTTATGGTTGGGACAGAGTACACTATTAGGAGTCATATTATGTGACAGACTCACTTTATGAGATTGGCAGGCAAATTTTGTTGCTTTAGTGTGGTTATTGTGATAATCTAATTTAAAAAGCTTGGTTATGAAACATTTCAAGCATATTCATTTGGTTAAACAGGTGAATAGTACGTAATCCCCATGTCCTGTCACTCAGCTTTAGCAACTAAAATCTGAACAGAATCATAAAGCATTGGGAAGAGGATCTAAAATTGATGGACTTTAATGTGTTAATTTGGGGTGATGAACCTCAAAGAAGAGGTTCATGGGTGATGCCACTTGTGCATGGAGAAACTGACCAAACATCTCAGATCTTTTCTAGTCTGGTTACCTTTTGTCTAAAATTCTCACATTTTAAAATTTGGAAATCCCTTTGTCTATAATAAAAGGCCCCTTTGAGTCTCCTAATTCTTCTATTTGTTCCAGGAGGAGGGGCAAACTGGTCTGAAATAAGAGAGCAAACTGTCATATATAGGCTTTGGGACATTTGTTTCTTATGGAGACAATACTACATTGTAAAAATGTTGAAGATTCAGAAAAGTGATTTGAATCACTTCAACTAATGATTCTACTTTTAAAAATCTACTCTAGGAGATAATCCTAATGATAGAAACCATTTTAGAGGGATAAGAAGGCAGAGTACAGAGGATTTTTAGGGCAGTGAAATGACTCATTGAGATACTATAATGGTGCATACATGTCATTATATATGTCTTTGTCCAAATCCAAAGCACCAGAGTGAACCCCAATGTCAACTGTGGACATTGGATGATTATGGTGTTTCATTGTAGGCTTATCAGTTATAACAAATGTATCTCTGTGGTGGTTAGTCAGTCCATTGCATGGAATGCAACTGTTCTACTGGATGGGATGCAACTGTTAAAAGATGTTTAGGAAAAGCTTATAACATGGAAAAATCCTAATGCAATGTTAAGAAAAAAGATGAGACACAATTTATATACAATATTTATAATAATATTTTTTTTCCTGTTTCTTATATTTTCCAAGTTTTCTATAATGCATCTTTTTTTTTTTTTATAGATCTCCCCCCCCCCCGCATCCCCCCACCCGAACCCCCTCCTCCTAACTGCTGCTCCTCTCCTCTCCCCTCCCCTCCGCACTCCTCTTCCCCCTTCCCCAGCACCCGACCCCCTCCTCCAGAGTGAGGGTCCTTCACGGCGCCCCTCACTCCGTGCGCTTTGCCCGAAAGTGTGCAACCTTGTCCCGTCGTTTCCTAGGGAGTGTCCTGGAACACGCGGCGAGAGTTTTAAGTTTTCACTCCCTTTCAGGCTCCAGGGCGCTTTTACCCCTTCCTTTTGAAACAACATACGTAAACCTCACCGAAGCAAGGCCACCAAAAATTTTAGCTGCCTCCCAAAAAAAATTGGGAGAGAGAGAGATCTATAATGCATCTTTACTTTAATGGTGGATATAGCTCAATAGTCATTATTTTTTTTATTTTATTTTATTTTTAAAAATATTTTTATTGATTTTGGAGAGGAAGGGAGAGGGAGAGAGAGATAGAAACATCAATGATGAAAGAGAATCATTGATCAGCTGCCTCCTGCACACCCCACACTGGGGATCGAACCCGCAACCTGGGCATGTGCCCTGACCGGGAATCGAACCATGACCTCCTAGTTCATAGGTTGACGCTCAACCACTGATCTATGCTGGCCGGGCATTAGTCATTATTTATTTTATTTTTTTTGTCATTTTTATTTTCTTTTTAAAAAAATATATATTTTATTGATTTTTTACAGAGAGGAAGGGAGAGGGATAGAGAGTTAGAAACATCGATGAGAGAGAAACATTGATCAGCTGCCTCCTGCACATCTCCTACTGGGGATGTGCCCACAACCCAGATACATGCCCTTGACCGGAATCGAATCTGCGACCCTTCAGTCCGCAGGCTGATGCTCCATCCACTGAGCCAAACCGGTTAGGGCTAGTCTTTGTCTTACAGTCTATTTTGTCTGGTGTAAGTATTGCTAACCCAGCTTTATTTTTTTCACTTTCATTTTTATGAACTATCTTTTTCCAGCCCTTTACTTTCAGTCTGTGTGTGTCTTTCAATCTGAAGTAAGTCTCTTGTAGGCAGCATATCTAAGGGTCTTACTTTCTTTTTTTTTTTTTAAATATATATTTTATTGATTTTTTACAGAGAGGAAGGGAGAGAGATAGAGAGTTAGAAACATCGATGAGAGAGAAATATCGATCAGCTGCCTCCTGCACATCTCCTACTGGGGATGTGCCCGCAACCAAGGTACATGCCCTTGACCGGAATCGAACCTGGGACCTTTCAGTCCGCAGGCCGACGCTCTATCCACTGAGCCAAACCGGTTTCGGCTAGGGTCTTACTTTCTTATCCATTTAGCCACCCTGCGTCTTTTGATTGGAACATTTTTTTATTGATTAAGGTATTACATATGTGTCCTTATCCCCCCATAGCCCCCCCCCTCCCGTTCATGCCCTCACCCCCCTGGTGTCTATGTCCATTGGTGATTGGAACGTTTAATCCATTTACATTTAAAGTAATTATTGATACATATATTTATTGTCATTTTATTATTCATAAAAAGGATGAAATCTAGCCATCTGCAACATCATGGATGGACCTAGGGTACTGTGCTGAGTTAAATAAGTCAGACAGAGAAAAACAATGCCATATGATTTCACTTACATGTGGAATCTAAAAAACAAAACAAACGAACAAGCAGACCAGAAACAGGCTCATAGATACAAAGAACATTTTGATGGTTGCCAGAGGGATGGGGGTTGGAGGAATGGATGAAAAAGGTGAAGGGATTAAGAAGTACAAAATTGTAGTTACAGAATAATCATGGGGGTGTAAGTACAGTATAAGGAGTACAGTCAGTAATATTGTGTAACTATGTGTAGTGTCAGATAGGTACTAGATTTATCAGGGCGATCACTTTGTAAGTTATATAAATGTCTAATCACAAGGTTATACACTTGAAACTAATGTAATATTGTATGTCAACTGTAATTGAAAAATAAAAAAATTATTGAAATAGAAAAAAAGAAAATACTATTTATTTATTTTTTAAAATATATTTTTATTGATTTTAGAGAGGAAAGGAGAGAGAGAGAGAGATAGAAAGATCAATGATGAGAGAGAATCATTGATCGGCTGCCTCCTGCATATCCCCTACTGGGGATTGAACCTGAAACCAGGCATATGCCCTGTCAAGGAATCGATCTGTGTGACCTCCTGGTTCATAGGTTGATGCTTAACCACTGAGCCACGCTGGCCTGGCTTTGTCAGGTATATTTATAGATACTATTATCCAACAGAAGCAAACAAGAAAATGGCAGAGTTGCCTCTCTTCTAATTGGAACATTAGGTCAGTACATGATAAAAGTAAAAAAATAGCCCTGACCGGTTTGGCTCAGTGGATAGAGCGTCGGCCTGTGGACTGAAAGGTCCCAGGTTCGATTCCGGCCAAGTGCATGTACCTTGGTTGCGGCCACATCCACAGTAGATGATGTGCAAGAGGCAGCTGATCGATGTTTCTCTCTCATCGATGTTTCTAACTCTCTATCCCTCTCTTCCTCTCTGTGAAAAATCAATAAAATATATTTAAAATAATAGTTTGCTGACTTGAAACTTAACTTTTAAAGCATGTTTTTTGTGTATAATATACACACATATATGTATATATATGTATGTATCACGTTCAAAGGCTGTTAAATTGCGTTGTTTACCCATATCTTCAGAAAAAATCACTTCTACTGTCATGGTAAACAACCTGCTTTCCTATTTATAATGGTCTGGCCCTCTAGCAACTTCAACACGAAATTATAGCTAATTTGCCTACAAACGTCAGGTGGTCATAATAATCTGGCCACTCAGTGTATTTCTCTTTTCTGAAGTAAGTAGAGAAATTATTTTATGACATGTGTGTTCCATTTTGTGCTATGTACTGTGTTACCAGATTTGCTGATTCCAAGACAAGCAGGCTTCTCTTGAGAATTGATATAGCTGAGCTGGGTTCTCTGGGCAGGAAAACTTCTGTTTTTATAGATTGGCAAACTCCATCACAGAAAGTTTCAGGTGTCTCAGCCAAGGTCACACAGATGAAAATGTGGCCCTAAAATCCTGCTTAGTGGTTGTTCACTTTAGAGCACATTCATTCCAGATAAAAAATCAGAATGGACATAAATTAGGACTGTCTTACTGTGTTTACATAACTCCTTTCATTTTTGAATACCTGCTGACTTTGCCAAAGAAGTTATAAGAAGTACGTGTGATATTTGAACGTTCCTGTGGCTGTTTAAAAGTGTTTCATGGCACCTATTTGGTTCTGAGTCTTTTTTCTCTTTTGTTTCCTTTCTAGTTGGAGAAGAGCAGATAAGTGCCATTGGACGGGGCATCTGTGTGTTGCTGGGCATTTCTCTGGAAGATACACAGAAGGAACTGGAGCACATGTAAGATGGGAATTTCTCTTTGTTTGCTTTTTGAAAACAAAAACCAAAGTCATTGCTCTTTGTTTTTTAATCCTCACCCGAGTATATTTTTCCACTGATTTTTAGAAAGAGTGGATGAGAGAGGGAAAGCAGAGAGAAATATCTATGTGAGAGAAATACATCGATTGGTTGCCTCTTGCATGAGCCCTGACCAGGGCCCGGGCAGGGGAAGGAGCCTGCAACAGAGGTACATGTTCTTTATTTTTTTAAAGGGGAGAATGATGATTTATTTATTTAAAAATATATTTTATTGATTTTTTTTTTTACAGAGAGGAAGGGAGAGGGATAGAGAGTTACAAACATTGGTGAGAGAGAAACATCGATCAGCTGCCTCCTGCACACTCCCTACTGGGGATGTGCCCGCAACCAAGGTACATGCCCTTGACTGGAATCGAACCTGGGACCCTTGAGTCCACAGGCTGACGCTCTATCCACTGAGCCAAACAGGTTAGGGAGAGGTACATGTTCTTGACTGGAATCGAACCCAGGACCTTTCCGTCCACAGGCTGATGTGTTATCCACTGAGCCAAACTGGCTATGGCTAAGTCATTGCTCTTGAATTGAATATGTGGTAGTTGTATCCTACTAGAGCCCCGGTGCACGAATTCATGCACAGGTGAGGTCCTTCTGCCTGGCCGGCAATCGGGGGCTGATCGGGGCCCTCTTGCCCAGCCCCGATTAGGGCCGATGGGGGCTGGCCAGCCGGGAGGGACCACGGGAGGGCTCCAGGTTGTGTTTGGCCCTCTTGGCCAGTCTCAATTGGCTGAACCCCAGCAGCAAGCTAACCTACTGGTCAGAACGTCTGCCCCCTGGTGGTCAGTGCACATCATAGTGACTGGTTGAGCGGTTGACTGAACGGTGACCGATCAGTCGGAATTTAGCATATTACGCTTTTATTATATAGGATTATATATAGGATATATGTGCACGCACATACACATACTAGGAACTTCAATCGTATTTTGTTCTTATAAAGTGAGCCCGTTACTTTTATCAGTTTGACATTCGATGTAGTATGGTTATCTTCGTGTTTCAGATGAGGAGACGAGGAAGAGTAACCTGTCAAATGTCACCCACTAAGTGAGCAGCAGAGCAGGAGTACCACTTAGCTTCTATCCCTATTTGCTGCTACTTCTGTGAACTCTTCTCTTAATTAAAAACCGAACCTCTTTTTTTTAAAATTTATTTTTATTGATTTCAGAGAGGAGAGGAAATGGAAAGATAGAAACATCAGTGATGAGAGAGAATCATTGATCAGCTGCCTCCTGCACACCCCCCCATTGGGGATTGAGCCCACTACCTAGGCATGTGCCCTTGATCGGAATCAAACCTGCGACCCTTCAGTCCACAGGCCATGGATCTATCCACTGAGCCAGATCAGCTAGGACTGAGCCTCTTTTCTTATGAATGGCTTCTGTTTTATAATTTGAGCAATATGATGTGGTCCTGCTAATGCATTTTTAAAATGCCCAGCTGTTCATTGTGCAGTAAGGATCTGGATTTCGGGGAGGTTAAATTACTTGCCCACAGTCACATACACATAGTTAGCAAAAAGCCCGAATCCGAATTAGAATCTAGGCTACCTGACCTGGAAGCCAGTGCTCCTTTTACCAAAGTAGGGGGTTCGTCATTGCTGTTGCCCGAATGGCTGTCTTAGTGCTCAGCTTTCCTCTCCCCCTGTGTAACCAGCACCACTTGACACATTTACTTCGGATGCTTGGATCTATTTATTCTACCCTTTGGTGCCCAGAACCTGGGTATAACCCCACCCAATTGTCCCTTTTGTTTAGGTTGCAAAGCCAAGTCCTGCTAAGGTGTTGATGACTAATAGGGATAGTTCATTGCCACTTCAGGGATGTTGGTGTCTCCCCTGGATACTTGAAACAGTAGAGTGGGGTAGTGGTTACAAACTGCGGCTCTGGGTCTGAATCTTGATATGTCTCTGACATTCTAGAGCAGCCATGGGCAAACTACGGCCTGCGGGCCGGATCCGCCCGTTTGAAATGAATAAAACTAAAAAAAAAAAAAAGACCGTACCCTTTTATGTAATGATGTTTACTTTGAATTTATATTAGTTCACACAAACACTCCATCCATGCTTTTGTTCCGGCCCTCCGGTCCAGTTTAAGAACCCATTGTGGCCCTCGAGTCAAAAAGTTTGCCCACCCCTGTTCTAGAGAGCTAATAGTTACCTTGGTGGTTAAGAGATTTAACTCAACAGAAGACAAACCTTGGCTGTGGAGAGGAGTTGGTGAAAAGTGCCCACTACAGAGAGGACCCATATAAAGAGTCAGTGAATTACTCTTTGTAGAGCCCTTGAACATGTCTTCAACAACATCCAAAAAGGTGGCTTTCCATTGGTGCCATTTCAACTTTCATGCAGGTTGTTCTTTATCATGCTCTTGAAATCTGATCTTATAAATGTTATCTGGTCCTCTTCCTTGCCAAGGTGGCTGTCCTTTGTCACCCACATGTGTAGGACTTAAGGAGCATGTGACATAGTTATTAAAGTATTTTTCTCCACATCTTTTTTTATATTTGTAGTAACACTAAGTCCTCTCCCGGGTATTTGCTAAATTGTTCATTTTGAGTAGCTCCAAGAAGGGGTGTACAGATGGGGCACCATTTATTCCAGTGTAAAGATTGAATTCTTCTATAAGTAATTAGAGATGGACCCATGCTGTGATAATGGATGGTTGTCATCTTGGCCCCAGTTCCAACTGGCACTGGCTGCTGCTGTGAATTAGAGGGACCCACACACACAAATAAAAGGAAATCCCCAAACTACCCTGTGAGGCAAGACCACTATTACCCTGTATTACAGATGAGGAAACTGAGGCACAGAGAAGAAAAGTCACTTGCTCAAGGTCACACTTTCTGTAAGTGATGGGGTCAGCATAATGTTCTTGTTTGGCAGGATGCTGGTGACACTTGGGGGGTATGAAATGTATTGGGGGGCTTGTGATTCCTTAGGTAGCTCTCACTGCTATTTTTCCCCTTAGGGTCCGAAAGATTTTAAACTTACGTGTGTTTGAGGATGAGAGTGGAAAGAACTGGTCGAAGAGTGTGATGGACAAACAGTATGAGGTGCTGTGTGTCAGCCAGTTCACCCTCCAGTGTGTCCTCAAGGGCAACAAGCCCGACTTCCACCTGGCAATGCCCACGGAGCAGGCAGAGAGCTTCTATAACAGCTTCTTGGAGCAGCTGCGCAAGACGTACCGGCCGGAGCTCATCAAAGGTAGGCAGGAGACGCCTGGGGCACTTCGGAGCAGGGGGACGGAGAATCTGCAGCTGCAATCTTTCCTTTGTCACAAAGTTTGTTGTTATGTTTATTACTGACTTAAAACAACAAGATGGCTGCTGCCACTGCTTGTTGCTATACGTGTCCTCTGAATGCCCGGATACCATTTACCCTTCTTCATTCTTTTAGTCACGTTTGAAAATGCTTAGCAACCCAGAAGTGTGTTTGATGTAGTGGTGTTTTATTTTGGTCACTTACCCTATCTGACAGAAATACAATGCAAGCTACAAATGTGAGCCACATGTCATGTTACATTTTATATTTAAAAAAGTAAAAAGGCCGTAACCGGTTTGGCTCAGTGGATAGAGCGTCGGCCTGCGGACTGAAAGGTCCCGGGTTCGATTCCGGTCAAGGGCATGTACCTTGGTTGCAGGCACATCCCCAGTGGGGGGCGTGCAGGAGGCAGCTGGTCGATGTTTCTCTCTCATCGATGTTTCTGGCTCTCTATCCTTCTCCCTTCCTCTCTGTGAAAAATCAATTATATATATTTTATTGATTTTTCACAGAGAGGAAGGGATGAGGATAGAGAGCCAGAAACATCGATGAGAGAGATCGATCAGCTGCCTCCTGCACGCCCCCCAGTGGGGATGTGCCTGCAACCAAGGTACATGCCCTTGACCGGAATCGAACCCGGGACCCCTGAGTCCACAGGCCGACGCTCTATCCACTGAGCCAAACCGGTTTGGCCAATAAAATATATTAAAAAAAAAAAATAAAAAAATAAAATAAAATAAAATAAAAAAGTAAAAAGAAACAAGTGAAATTAATTTTAAAAACTGTATTTTATTTAGCTTACTATGTCTAAAATATTATGATTTTACCATGTAATTAATATAAAAAGTTAAAATGAGATAGCATGTATATTTTGTGTACTAAAGTCCCCTAAATCTGGTGTGCAGTTTATACTTACAGCACATCTCAATTTGGAACAGCCACATTTCAAGTGCCCCAAAGCAGTGAGTGTCTAGTGGCTGTAATATTGGACATATAGGTTTAGGTTTTTGCCTACCTGCTTATTGTCAAGAATGCCAACCTCATTTGACTAACCAAGATTTAGTCTAGAAAATGGCTTGGTGGAATAGTGGTCCTGGTTTGTGGGAGAATTATGAATCTTTTTTTTTTAAAAATATATTTTATTGATTTTTTACAGAGAGGAAGAGAGAGGGATAGAGAGTTAGAAACATCGATGAGAGAAAAACATCGATCAGCTGCCTCCTGCACACTCCCCACTGGGGATGTGCCCGCAATCAAGGTACATGCCCTTGACTGGAATTGAACCTGGGACCCTTGAGTCCGCAGGCTGACGCTCTGTCCACTGAGCCAAGCCAGTTAGGGCATGAATCTTTTTTAAAAAAATATATTTTTATTGATTCCAGAGAAGAAGGGAGAGGGCGAGAGAGAGATAGAAACATCAATGATGAAGGAGAATCATTGATTGGCTGCCCTCCTGCATACCCCCTACTGGGGATTGAACCCGCAACCCGGGCATGTGCCTTTAACCGGAATCGAACCTGGACCCCTTTAGTCTGCAGGCTGACGCTCTATCCACTGAGCCAAACTAACTAGGGCGAATTATGAATCTTTTAAAGAAGGCCATTCATTTCTAGTCTGTTTTCATGGGGTTAAAGTGCATTTAAGATCATCATGTTTTGCCTTTAAAAAAAATTTAAATTCTTTATTGTTTAAAGTATTACATTTGTCTCCTTTTTCCCCACTGACCTCTCCCTGGCTGTTCCCACCCCCCAGCATATGCCCTCACCCCACTACTGTTTGTGTCCATGGGTTTTGCTTATATGCATGCATACAAGTCCTTTGGTTGATTTCTTACCACCCCCCCTCCCCCGCCCCTACCTTCCCTCTGAGGTTGTATGGTCTGTTCAATGCTTCTGTGTCTCTGGATCTATTTTTGTTCATCAGTTTATGTTGTTCATTATATTCCACAAATGAGTGAGATCATGTGATATTTATCTTTCTCTGACTGGCTTATTTCGCTTAGCATAATCCTCTTAGGTCCATCCATGCTGTTGCAAATGGTAAGAGTTCCTTCTTTTTTACAGCAACGTAGTATTCCATTGTGTAGAAATACCACAGGTTTTAAAAAATATATATATTTTATTGAATTTTTACAGAGAGGAAGGGAGAAGGACAGAGAATTAGAAACACCGATCAGCTGCCCCCCACTGGGGATGTGCCCGCAACCAAGGCACATGCCCCCGACTGGAATCGAACCTGAGACCCCTCAGTCTGCAGGCCGATGCTCTGTCCACTGAGCCAAACTGGTCAGGGCTAATACCACAGGTTTTTAATCCACTCATCTGCTGTTGGGCACTTAGGCTGTTTCCGAATCTTAGCTATTGTAAATTGTGCTACTATGAACATAGGGGTGCATTCTGATTGGTGTTTCTGGTTTCTTGGGATATATTCCTAGAAGTGGAATTACTGGGTCAAATGGGAGTTCCATTTTTAATTTTTTGAGGAAACGCCATACTGTTTTCCCCAGTGGCTGCACCAGTCTGCATTCCCACCAGCAGTGCACAAGGGTTCCTATTTCTCCACATCCTCGCCAGCACTTGTCGTTTGTTATGTTTTGCCTTTTTCTCTTCAGTTGGTTATTAGAAAAGAATGGTTAGCCTTTTTGGTAATGTACCTCAATAAGAGACCTTTCTAAGTAGATTGTTTCTTTTGCTGCCATCATATCCTTTTGTAGACATCGAGTAGTTATTAGTAGTTAACTCTGTAATATTTCCTATACTTTAACTTTCTCTGGATTAAACAAATCTAGATCTCCTCTTTATTTGATTTATTTTTTAAAAATATATATTTTTTTATTGAGAGGAAGGGAGAAGGAGAGAGAGATAGAAACATCAATGATGACAGAGAATCATTGATCAGCTGCATCCTGCATACCCCACACTGGAGATCAAGCCCACAACTTGGGCATGTGCCCTGGCTGGGAATCAAACCGTGACTCCAGGTTCATAGGTTGATGCTCAACCACGGAGCCATGCCAGTGGGGTATTGGATCTATTTTCAACTGTAAGTGATAAAAGTTGTTGCCTGATTTTGAAGCTCTGTAGCAAAGGTCCACATTGAAGTTTGTCAGCTCATCAGACTTGATCATGTTTAGAAGAGTGATATTCCTACCCCCTTTGGAATGTCCTTTTATTTTAATTCTCCTTTTACTTGTGTAAAGTGTCCATTTGCCATAAGGACGAATGGATTCTATATGATCAGGACACTCCTGCCTTAAATCAAATTCCAGTCTTTACTTGGGTCCTGGTAGGACAGAATATATTTGCCTTTTCTGGAAATATCCAAGTTTAGAACTCTATTCACAAGTTTAGTCATGGATACCTTTAGTCTCTTTTCCCCCACCCTGTGTCCACTGAGATCCTCTGACATGACTTTGCTGCAAACATGTTTCTTCCCAGAATTAGGAGTTAAGGCAGATCCTCTGAATAATTATTTTTCTTTGCTGAGCCAAGGATTAAATGCCACCAGCATTGTCTTCTCTGCTTGATGTGTGTAGAATCTTCCCATGTCTGAGAAATGTCAGATGTATTTTAGAATGTACTGCAGGCTCTTGAAAGGGTGGCACAAGCAATAGCATAAAGGCATAAGTGAAGGCACTTTAAATGGAAGAACATTGATGATTGTAAGGAATGATGCAGTGAAAACAAAATAGCATTCATCTAAGTCCTTAGAGTGTTGTGTGCATTACTGGGTGCTTTGTGTTCCTAAAAATGTCTTTTACTGCTTGAAATGATGTGTATTTTATCCAGGTAATTATATGAAGTGCCTGAAACAATGTACTGTAGACAATATAATTTTATAATGGATCAGAATTTAAGCTCATGGCATGTGGTACATCTGATCATTTTGATAAAAAGTTGACATGCATTATACAAAGAATTTTAATTATAATTTATTTCAAAACCTTTTGGCTTTCAGAAGCACCACAGTGATATCAACTTGCTCTTTCAGCTTTTTATCTCTTTTATGGTTTTCAGTGGAACAAAATGTGTAGAGCTGTGGTTGCCAACCGGTAGTCCGCGGACCACTGGTGGTCCGTGAGGTCCGAAAGGTTGGCGACCACTGGTTTAAGGAAACCTTTGGAGCAGCGGTTGCCGACTGGTAGTCCGCAGACCACTGGTGGTCCGTAAGATCTGAAAGGTTGGCAACTGCTGGTGTAGAGCATGTTTTACTTATTTTTATTTATTGTTATTTATTTATTTTTAAGTATATTTTTATTGATTTCAGAGAGGAAGGGAGAGGGAGAGAGAGAGAAACATCAGTGATGAGAGAATCATTGATTGGCTGCCTCCTGCACGCCCCCTACTGGGGATCGAGCCCAAAACCTGGGCATCTGCTCTTGACTGGAATTGAACCTGGGACCCCTCAGTTCACAGGCTGATCCTCTATCCACTGAGCCAAACCAGCTAGGGCTAGAGCATGTTTTACACGCTTGCTGTCTTTTGGTTGATTTTGAGATTTTGGCTACCGTCTCCAACATGGAAAGTTCTCTGTTAGCTGAAGGGATGTTGGGATACAAATAAACTGCTAAGTACCTTTTCTTTTTAAAAAAGATTTCTTAAAATTGATTTTAAAAGATAGAGGAAGGGAGAAGGAGAGAGAGAAACATTGATGTGAGTGAAACATCAGTTGGCTGCCTCCTGCGTGCCACTGTCCAGGGATTGAGCCTGCAACTCAGGCATGTGCCCTGACCAGGGATAAAACCAGCAAACTTTTGGTGCACGGGATGATGCCCAACCAACGGAGCCATATCTTCTAGGACCTTTTCTTTTTTTTTTAAATTTTATTTTTCAATTACAGTTTGCATTCAAAGGCATTTTGTATTAGTTTCAGGTGTACAACACAACAGATAGACATTCATAGAGATTACAAAGTGTTCCCTCCGATAATTTAAGTGCCCACCT